GTCTATAGTCTAGTCTATAGTCTAGTCCTATAGTCTAGTCTATAGTCTAGTCTATAGTCTAGTCTATAGTCTAGTCTATAGTCTAGTCTATAGTCTAGTCTATAGTCTAGTCTATAGTCTAGTCTATAGTCTAGTCTATAGTCTGGTCTATAGTCTAGTCTATAGTCTAGTCTATAGTCTAGTCTATAGTCTAGTCTATAGTCTAGTCTATAGTCTAGTCTATAGTCTAGTCTATAGTCTAGTCTATAGTCTTGTCTATATATATATAGTCTAGCCTATAGTCTAGTCTATAGTCAAGTCTATAGTCTAGTCTAAAGACTATAGACTAGACAATAGTCTAGACTATAGACTAGTCTATAGACTGGACTATAGACTAGACTATAGACTAGACTATATATGTGTGTTAGAGTGTATATGTAAGTGTGTTAGAGTGTATTAGTATTAGTGTTAAATTTGTTTGCTGCAATGTACATTTATATTATTCAATGTTCATAATATTATGAAATGATAAATACTGAAAATGTTCTCTATTGCAGTTCTGCAAGTACAGTAGTTAAATATTGTTGCTATTGGTTGGGTTGTTGTTGTTTATTTTATGTTTTTTCTTTTCGATGACATTTCACAAACATGTAATTTATGGTTGGAAAATGCAAGTTCTATGTTTTTAAATATTTTATGACAACAGTGTGAATCAGCATTTTAAGTAGTTTAAGAAAAAAAAAAGTAAAACTCTGAACATAAATGGCAGCAAAATGTAACGTAAGATAGTGCTACAATTTCAAGGTCAGCCGTGTTTATACATGCTAAATGTATACATACATATTTGCATACATTTTCCTGCTTTATGGCATTTTTCCAACATTTTATAATTTTTTTACTGAAATCAAGTGAAAAAAATTTTATTTTATTTTCTTTATTGTGGATTTTTTCTAGAGAAGTTGTTTTTAATAAATTTGTTGCTAGTTTTAATATTTTTTTATAAAACGATAAAGAATATTATTTAGTTAAACACAGTTTTTATTATACCCTACACCACTTCAGTGGGGAGGGTATATTGGGTTTGTGCTGATGTTTGTAACGCACAATAATATTGGTCCTATACCCATCTTAAAGTGGGTATAGGACCAGAATCATTTCCTGAGTCGATTTAGCTATGTCCGTCCGTCCGTCCGTCTGTCCGTCCGTCCGTCCATGTAAACCTTGTAATCAAACTACAGGTCGCAATTTTGAAGATAATTCAATGAAATTTGGTACATGATCTTCTATTGTCCCAGGGACGAAGCCTATTGAAAATGGTTAAGGTGTATGGTATTATATGGTCGGCGTCGCCCGACTATAATTTCTTACTTGTTATACCCTACACCACTTTAGTGGGGAGGGTATATTGGGTTTGTGCTGATGTTTGTAACGCACAATAATATTGGTCCTATACCCACCTTAAAGTATACCAATCGGCTCAGAATCATTTTCTGAGTCGATTTAGCTATGTCCGTCCGTCTGTCCGTCCGTCTGTCCGTCCGTCCGTCCGTCCATGTAAACCTTGTAATCAAACTACAGGTCGCAATTTTGAAGATAATTCAATGAAATTTGGTACATGATCTTCTATTGCCCCAGTGACGAAGCCTATTGAAAATGGTTAAGATCGGTCCATTATTTCACCTAGCCCCCATACAACTGAACCCCCCAATAGGGCTTGTAATCCTTGTAATCAAACTACAGGTCGCAATTTTGAAGATAATTCAATGAAATTTGGTACATGATCTTTTATTGTCCCAGGGACGAAGCCTATTGAAAATGGTTAACATCGGTCCATTATTTCACCTAGCCCCCATACAACTGAACCCCTCGAATAGGGCTTTTAAAACTTGTAATCAAACTACAGGTCGCAATTTTGGAGATAATTCAATGAAATTTGGCACATGATATTTTATGGTACCGTAGATGAAGCCTGTTGAAAATGGTTTACATTGGTCCATTATTTCACCTAGCCCCCATACAACTGAACCCCTCGAATAGGGCTTTTAAACTTTGTAATCACACTACAGGTCGAAATTTTGGAGATAATTCAATGAAATTTGTCACATGCTCGTTTATGGTACCGTAGACAAAGTCTATTGAAAATGGTTAACATCGGTCCATTATTTCACCTAGCCTCCATACGACTGAACCCCCCGAATAGGGCTTTTAAACTTTGTAATCAAACTACAGGTCGCAGTTTTGGAGATAATTCAATGAAATTTGGCACATGATCTTTTATGGTATCGTAGACGAAGCTTATTGAAAATGGTTAACATCGGTCCATTATTTCACCTAGCCCCCATACAACTGAACCCCCAAATAGAAATGATCAAACTACAGATCGCAATTTTGAAGATAATTTAATGACATTTGACACACGATCTTCTGTTGTACTAGAGACGAAGCGTTTTAAAAATGGTTAATTTCGGTCCTTTATTTCACCTAGCCCCCATACAACTGAACCCATCAAATAGGGCCTTTAAGTTCATCTCGACAAGAACCTGCAAAACCAAATTCTATACTAGCCTTGATAACCCTCATGAATTTTATAATTATAAGGCTCCTTTAGACCCTACCTCCTAAACAATTTCCTCTTCAAAATATGTGTTACATGACTGCAATTGTATTCAACAAGTATGAAGTTATAGTCGAGCGAAGCCGACCAGTTATAAACATAAAAGTTCCCATTAGAATCTTTAACGCCCATAGTTCAATTATAAATAATCAGAATATATCTTCAACGTCCATAGTTCAATTATAAATATTAGCATCACGATAATATTCGACGTAAATGACTTTTAGGTAAACATAAATCACTTGTTGTGTACATCGGCCTATATTTGATATTGCTTCCAAAGTCAAAAATTTTATAAAATCATATTTTCATCAAAAATTTAACGGAAATATTTTTATGAAAAATAAATCATATTTGAAAAATTAACGGAAATGTTTTTATGAACAATAAATCATATTTGAAATATACTCATCCTTTTATAACGGAAAAGTATAGGTAACATTTTTAATTTCTTTCTTTTTGCAACAGAAAATTAGTCAGGTATATTGAAGGATCAGGTAAAATATAAAGAATATGCAGGTTTATGTTGCATATCCAAATTCTTTGTTTTTTACCTTTCTCTCAAAAAAATTTATAGTATTTTTTAAAAGTACAAATTGCAAAAAAATGTATATTTACCTGAAATATTTTTAGTTGCAAAAGGAAAGCAAATTAAAATGTTACCTACTATTTCTCGATATAATTATTTACAGGTAATTATGCAAAACATATCCCATTTTACCTGTTATAGATGAATTATTGTAAAAAGTACCTTTTGCAAGCATGAACAATTTCACTTTTTAAGTTTATAATCAGTTAGAAGGTATCTTTTAAAGAGAAAAGACGTATCACTGTTATATCTCATATCAATTTTATAAAAGTTATAATGCCAAGAACACGAAGACAAAGTGCAGAACATCGTCGGCGGCTTATTAGAAATAGACTCCGACAATTGAGAGTAGTTGAAGAACCAAATGATAATAGTTTGCATGCTGTGGCGAATTCTCCGATTCAGAGAAGATCGCACTCAATTTCGAGCTCACAGCGGTCATATAATACAGAATGGCGGTATAACCGTAGGTTAGATCCTGTATTCCGACTGCAAGAACAAACTAGAAACACTCGGGAACACCAAGTTAGACGTTCTGTCGCAGCATATAGAGAAGAGGAGCAAACTCGAAATACAGCCGAACATCAAGTTCGACGAACTGATCCAACTTATCGAGAAGAGGAGCAAACTCGAAATACAGCCGAACATCAAGTTCGACGGACTGATCCAACTTATCGAGAAGAGGAGCAAACTCGAAATACAGCTGAACATCAAGTTCGAAGGGCTGATTCTGAATATCGGCAAGCGGAGCAGTTGAGTGATACGCTTAGCCATCAGAATAGACGCAGTGATCCCGTATATAGGACCGGAGAACAACTCCGTAATACATTCGAACATCATGAAAGGCGTTCTGATCCAGCTTATCGAGAAGAGGAGCAAACTCGAAATACAGCCGAACATCAAGTACGACGGGCTGATTCTGAATATCGGCAAGTGGAACAGTTGCGTGATATGCTTAGTCATCAGAGTAGACGCAGTGATCCCATATACAGAATAGAAGAACAATTCCGTAATACTGTCGAACATCAAGTAAGACGTTCTATTGCAGAGTACCGAGAAGAGGAGCAGACTCGGAATACAGCCGAACATCAACTCAGACGAGCTGATTCTGAATATCGCCAATCGGAGCAGCAGCGTGATACGCTTAGTCATCATACAAGGCGTAATGATCCACATTATCGTGCATCTGAGCAAGCAGTTAATACATTACGTCGTTCCCTTCGAAGACAAAATCTACAATATAGAACTATTGAACAACAACAAAATACCATACAAAGGCAGTTGAGAAGAAGGATACAGCGACAAAATCTACAAGATATTCAACGTAGTGGAAACGAAAGAGTTCTTCGTCATAGAGATGTTAATTTAAATAGAGAGAGGGAACGCAATCGACAGGCTGAACGGATAAGAACACAGCGAGAGAATTAATCTGAGGAAGATGTGGAGGAAAATCGAAGATTAACTACAATAAATCGCAACACGTTACGATTCAACAGGTACAACGATACTATCAAGCAAGGACCAACCATAATATGTACCTGTTGCGGAGGATTATGGTTTCCACACCAGGTAGATGAATTATCACGGGATCGAATTAATGTAAGTACAGAATTTATTAATGATGTTTTTTGTCTTTCCGAAAGGTTTCCGTCTGAAAACAATAGTTTTGTTTTTTGCAAAACCTGTAGCAGGTCAATAAAGAATAAACGAAGGCCAAATATACGTCTATCAAATGGCCTTGATTATCCAGAGATACCAGATTGTCTCAAGGACTTAACGTCTATCGAAGAACGGCTTGTAACTGCCAGACTTCCATTTATGATAATCATAGCCCTTGGATTTGAAAGACAAAGCGCAATACGGGGTGCTGTTGTAAATGTTCCTGTTTCTGTAAATGAAACAGTTACAGCTCTTCCTAGAACATTCGACCAAGCTAATGTAATTCAGCTTCATTTAAGGCGCCGTCTTGAATATCAGCATGATTATATGACTGAAACAATTAGACCAGCTAAAGTAATTGAGGCCGCCAGGTATTTGATTACCACCGAATTGTATATCAAACATGGTATACATATCGATGATAATTGGTTTAGTAGTTTTGATTCACAAAATGTTGTACCATTTTTTGCTGACCGACGGGATGAAAATATTATTAGAAATATCTTCAACCATCAGACTATTAGCGGCAATAATGATAACAATATTGATGAATTTGATATGGAAAACCTGAATCCTGGTGGCCAACAAACATTACTTGATAATGTTCCTGTAGAAAATATTCCACTGCAGAGAGTAATTATTGCGCCTGGGGAGGGACAGCGTCCTCTTGATATGGTAGTGGATGAAGATTCCGAGGAACTCGCATTCGTTACTATTTATGGAGGAAAGAAAAGAACGTGTCCAGAAACATACAGTAAAATTGTTCGGTCAGAATTACGAAGATATGACAGACGAGCTTGTAGAATAGATAAGCTACTCTACAGTTACAAAAAACTTGAGCTTTTGTCAATAAAGAGTGCTATGTCCATCGCTTTACGCAAGCATGTTAGATCGACAAATGTCACGGCGGGTAATGCCCTTAACGATGCATTCATGAATAACCTTATACAACACGATGATGGATATCGTATTTTAAAAGGTGTGCGATCTTCTCCAGCTCACTGGGAAGCTGAAAAAAAGAAAGCAGTGGCAATGATTCGACAATTTGGCCTTCCTACCTTTTTTATTACACTTTCTGCAGCAGAAACAAAATGGATTGAACTGTTGGTTATTTTATCAAAAACGGTTGATAATGTTGAAATAACTGAGGATGATGCTAACAACCTAAGTTTTGCCGAAAAGGCCAGACTTATTCGCAGTGATTCCATAACTTGTGCCCGTTATTTTGATTTTAGGTTTCGACAACTTTTTGCCCTTTTCAAGATGAGTAATGGAGTTTTTGATAACCATCCCGTGGAAAAATATTACTGGAGAGTTGAGTTTCAGCAGAGAGGATCTCCACATATCCATGGTATGTATTGGTTAAAAGATGCTCCAAAAATTGACCTTAACGATCAGTCTACTTTTCCCGCCGTAGTTGCGTTTATTGACAAATATATAAGCACAAATGGTAGCGATCCATGTGTTGCCCAATATATTGATTATCAAAAACACAACCATAATCGGTCTTGTACTAGGGAATATAGGGGAGAAAGAATTTGCCGGTATGGTATTCCATATCCACCAATGCCTCAAACGGAGATTCTTACTCCTCTTCCAGAAAGCTTTGAATGTATAGATCAATATAAGGATTTATATGCCAAAATTCAAAGCCTTCTAAATTCTAATTTAAGTGGTGAAGAAATATCCAATTTAAATGACTTTGAATGCTTCTTAAACAGTGCTCACATTAATATGTCATATGAGGAATACAAATTGGCTTTGCGTTCATCTCTTAAGAAGCCTAGAATTTTTTTACGTAGAAGGTTCGAGGACAAAATGCTAAACGCGTATAATCCCACAATACTGCCATTGCATAGAGCAAATATGGATATTCAATTTATATTGGATGCATATGCATGTTGCAGCTATATTGTTAATTATATTAACAAATCCAATCGGGGAATTTCCAGAATTTTACGCGAGGCAGTTGATGAAATTAGAGGAGGGAATTTTTCTATTAAGCAAAAACTTCAACATATTGGACATAAGTTTATTTCAGGAACTGAAATTTCTGCACAAGAAGCAACTTATTGTTGTTTGGGAATGCACCTTTCGGAAAGCAGTAATGCGGATATATATATAAATACAGGTAGACCCGAAGAACGAGTATTGATTCTAAGGTCACGCGATCAGCTACAAAACTTGCCACCAGACTCTACAGATGTGTACGTAACAAGTCTTTTGGACCATTACGTTCAGAGACCTGATGAGTTAGATTCACTGTGCTTGGCAGATTTTGCAGCTTTTTATAAGTTTTCACGAACCGCAAGATATATACAAAATGATGAAACTTATAATGAGCACGAAGACCACGAAGAAAACGAGTTATCTGGAAGATTTCTGAGATTAAAAGATAATAGCGGATTCATCAAAAAGAAAACGAAGCCAAATGTTATCAGATATAGGCATTATAATGCAAATACTCATCGAAGTGATTACTTTAGAGAATTGGTAATGTTATACCATCCCTGGCGAAATGAAGAAATCGATATTTTGCAAAATGATAACGAAGGCTTTTGTAGTATTCACAAGGATTCCATTGAATCAAACCGGAAAAGGTATGATGTTTTTGAAGAAAGGGAACTTGAAAACGTTCTTGAAAATCTAAGGCATGAAACCGAATCCGACAGTAATGGCAACGAAGATAATGATAATACAGCTATTGATAACGAGTTTAGAGTTCTGGGTGTACCTGAAATAAATCCAGATATTAATGTTCTTAACATACCCGAAAACGAACCAACTGAGGAATCTTCGGAAGGTTGTATTCGTTTGATTAAACTTCCGCCACTTATACCAGAAAACGATTTGTTAACAATGGTGAGATCATTGAACAATAAACAAAAGCTTTATTTATCCCATTTGTTACATAACATTAAATTGGGACATTCATTTTACGAATTTGTTGGAGGTGGTGCTGGAGTCGGTAAAAGTAGATTAATATCTGCTATATATCAATCTTTAAATTACAGACTAAATTTTATTCCTGGTACGGATCCCAGTTTGATAAAAGTATTGCTTTGTGCACCTACTGGAAAGGCAGCATTTGGCATTGGTGGAGCTACACTTCATTCAATGTTTTCACTGCCAATAAATCAGTCTGCGGCAGAGCTTAGACCTTTAAGCAGTGATACAGCTAATGCTTTGTATTCAAAATTTTTAAACTTAAAGCTCCTAATCATAGATGAAATATCTATGGTAGGATCAAAAATGCTCAGGTATCTCGACGCAAGACTGAAGCAAGTATTTAAATCGACTGCACCATTTGGAGGAATTTCTCTGGTAGTGTTTGGGGATTTGAGGCAACTTCCGCCTGTAGGAGATAGTTGGATATTTTCTGCACCATCAAATGATCCTTATAGTGTTATATATGGGTCTACATTATGGGACATGTTTAAATATTTTGAACTAAATGAAATAATGCGTCAGAGAGAAGATCAAGCATTTGCAAGAGCTCTTAATAATATGGCTTGCGGAAAAATGTCTGAACAAGACGTCTCTTTGATGAAATCGCGGGAAGTTCTTGAGTCAAATGTTCCAGCCGAAGCAATACATTTACTATGCACAAATGCTGAAGTTGATAACTGGAATGCTATTAAACTCAATAGTATAACTACAGAAGAATCAATTTCTTATGCCGATGACCAAGTAAAATCAGTGGGATTATCCAGAGAAAATAGAGCTAGTATTTTGGAAAATGTTAAAGTTTTCAAAACATCCGAGACACAAGGACTTCGGTATGATTTGAAATTAAAGACAACTGCAAAGTATATGGTTACAGTAAATATTAACACTAGTGATGGCTTAGTCAATGGAGCAACAGGGCAACTCATGCAAATTGACTTTGATAACAATCACAAACCATTTACATTGTGGATTAAATTTTCTGATACTTCTATTGGTGTTTTGGCTCGGTTACAAAGACGACATCCAAATGAAGCTTTATGGACACCTATAGAAATGTTAGTACGGTCCTTCCAATATAAACAGAACGAAAATGTGAACATTGACCGTAAACAGTTTCCAGTTGTACCAGCTGAAGGTATAACTATCCATAAAAGCCAAGGAGCAACATATGAAAGCGTAGCTGTTCATTTAAAATCAGGCATGAAACGCTCTGCTTTATATGTTGCATGTAGTCGAGCAAAAAGTGCTTCGGGACTTTATTTAATTGGCAAGTTCCCATCTAATTTACCTAAAGTGACAAATAATGACTTAGTCCAAATGGAGATGAATAATCTTCAAAATAGTAAAAAACTAACAACAAATTTTGATTTTTTGATGGATAGAAGATTAAATATAACTTATCATAATGTTCAAAGCTTACATGCTCATATTGAAGATGTTCGTTGTGATAAGTTGATGTTGCAGTCGGATATCCTTTGTTTTGTTGAGACTTGGACTTTAAGTCATGAAAACTATGATATTCCTGGTTTTAGCATTTTACCTAGAATGCGATTAGATTCAAATGAAAACGCAAATAGACGATGCAAACGTGGAATTATCGTTTACGTGAAAAATGAACTTGCAAATTCTATACAATATTGCTATAGTAAACAAGCTCACATTGCAAATAAAACATTCGAATTTATTATATTTAAGTGCCAGGATTTTAACATTACCGTTTTGTATAGAAATAAAAACTACCCTGCTGGATCTGTAATTAGAGAGTTAAACGAGTTGTTTTCCCAAAGTAACTATTTTAATGACAAATCCATTATAATTGGAGATTTAAATATTTGCCGAAGAAACAGTTGCAGCGAGTTAGAAAGACAACTAAGGGATAAAGGTTTTAACTCTCTAAATTCGACGAGCACTACAAAAAGTGCAACACAAATTGATTGGTGTTTTTCAAATTTAGACGAAAGCACGATTAGTGCTAAAACATATGAAACTATCCATAGTTACCATGACGCAATATGTGTTAGCATATTAAGGTAGATTATAAATAATATTTTCATATGTTTTAAAAATTCTGAAAATAATTGTATATATTTACTTATGTAGATTTATAAATAAATAAAAATTTATTAAAATATGTAAAAATTAATTTATTAATTATGTTATTATTTTAAATATTTGATCTGTCTCAATTATTTTAAAGTAAGTAATAATTAATATTTTCGTCCACAATAATTATATATGTATTTCGTAAAACGGTATTTACGATCATGTTATAATATGGATGATATACATAAGCAAATGAATTTATAGAAATTATAAACATATTTCGAATATATTTATGTATTTCAAATTGAATTTACTTTTCTTTCTAATAACTTAGAAACGACAAAGTTCAACAATTGCTTATTTATTTACAGACATCGAATATGTGAAATACCATATTTACTCTCCCTTGGAATAAGCCGTGGCGTGGCGGGAGGGCTTAAGTACTTCTTAATTTATTAAAAATTTAGAAGGAAACTAATTATTCCGTGAAATAAACTGTGGTGTAGGGTATTATATGGTCGGGCTTGACCGACTATAACTTTCTTACTTGTTATTTTATTGCATTTGTTTTTTAAGCGCAATTTAATGGTGTTATATATAGTATTTAATAGAAAAGTTATAAAATATTTTACAATAGCATATAATCGGGGCTACAGAAGACCTATTTAAGTCATTTTTGGAAAAAGCTGTTAAATTCTTATTTTCGTTATCTGTTGTGCTATACAAAACTCGCTGTTTGACTAAATGTTTATATTTTATAAAATCTTTATTTAAGCTTTAATAAAGCTTTTGTTATCGTTAAATTAAATCTTAGTTTGTTCATTATTCTATTTGTATTTTTAAAGCTGACAAGCAGCTTATTTATAAAATGTTTCAACTGACTTCTTAGTTTCATTGTTTGAGCAAAAATCTGCAAAATACTTGCAGTGTTTAAAAAGTTTTCCATTTTTTTTTTTTGTACAAAGAAAAATTAGTCATTGTGTTTAAGAAACTATATATAGCAGTTTTAATTTAAGTTTTTGTTGTTTGCAACTTTAAAGCCATTTTTTTTTGGGAAAAGGGAAATGAAACAAAAGGAGTATATTGTGTAAATTTTAGGACAATTTTGAAAATTCTTCTACAATGTAGATTCATTTCTGTGATTGTATGATTTGTTTCAATTTAAAATGTGTATAACAAAATATTAATATGCAGCGAATTGCTGGAACTGTGTTGAGTTGATATTTGTACTATAACTTTCCTTCTTGGTCCTTTTCTTTGGTTACATTTGTCTTGAAATGTTTTCTTTTTTCAGTTATACTTAAATATATTGCTCCAAAAAGTATAATTAGATAAATTACATAAATACTTATATATAATAATATAAAGAAATTAGAATTAAGAAGTTTTTCGAAATATTTGAAGAGGAATAGCATGTGTTCATACTGGACAAATACTTATGAAATTAGTTTTAACAATTTTAACAGTTAAGGGAACAGAATATCAGAATTTAAACGTCATAATGAATATGAGTTGACTTTGATATTAGAGGGGCTGCAAAGCACCACGATCTGGCTTTGAATCTTTCGTAAAGTTAGTTCACACATGAAGCTGTTAATAATAGCATATGTGTCTATTAAGGCAGCGTTAAAAGCCTGGCAATTGCAAAGTATTCATTGAGAAGTTTATTCTGGTAAACCACAAATATATATATTGTTACGCCATAGCATTCTCAAGAATGCATTAATAGTGTCCCGAAAGTAATCCTTACTATAACGTTATTAAACGTTTTGCCTCCCAGTGGCGATCACATTCAAATTTTATCTAGGTGTTACATTTCACTCTTATATATCGTTGGTTGTTTAACATGACCGATTATCAGCCTGTTCTTTGGCAAAAGGACCTACATCTTTGCACAATGCATTAATAGTGTCCCGAAAGTAATCCTTAATATAACGTTATTAAACGTTTTGCCTCCCAGTGGCGATCAAATTCAAATTTTATCTAGGTGTTACATTTCACTCTTATATATCGTTGGTTGTTAAACATGACCGATTATCAGTCTGTTCGTCGGCAAAGAGACCTACATCTTTGCACAATCTCAATTTATTGTGTCTATATAGTTTAATAAGGCGCTAAGTCGAAGGATTGAAAGATATTTCCTGAAGGATTATATATTTCTTTTAACCCATCTGTGAACCAAGTCTGAAAGGCTTTTGAAATATTGGATGTTTTTAATTTTTGGAGATTATGAACAACGTTCCGTTCAATATATATTTTGAGATCGATTTAATGACCGAAGTTGCTGAAGAATCTTTAAGATTATGTCCAGGCAATTCTAGACGTTCTTGTCCTTAAAATTTACCTGATAATTTACCTACTAGATTCAAAGGATTTCCATCATGATCTCTAAACATATTGTTAATGACAACATTGTACAAAATGTAGCTGGAATCATTGCGTAATTCAGACAATGCAATTTTAGTCTTCTCTGGAAAATGTCGAATTGCTTACCATGAACACACGGTGGTCGAACACTCAGGTGACAATTTTTGTACATGGCTGGTACAAGTACAAGTACTTTGCTGAAGTACTCTAGCTTTCTAATCTCTTTCTAAGTGGTCACGTTGGGGTATGACAGGGACACCATCCGTAGAAGTGCCGATCGAAGCAGAAAAGAAGGGTTGTCATGAGCGACGCCGTAGCATCTCCATCCTTTAACGATCATTTTAAGCAGATTTCTCGTTCACAGTCGCACAACCACATCACAAGGCTCTGTTGGTTCGGAAACAGCAACTAGAGACATATTTCGTAGTCTGAAATACCCAGCCAATAAATCAGGATGACAAAGAATGTAGAAATTTCCTAAGTAAAATCGAACCCACTAATTGCCATGACAAGTTAAGTGGTGGGCCTCAACCTAAGTAGTCCGTAGTCGCAGATTATCTGGTGCTCTGGGATATTGCAATAATTAGCACCAAGATGGAGATTACACCAAGGTAAAATGCCCCCGGGAGAGTATACTCTGCAGGTTCAAAAATTATTACGGTACTGGCTTGGAAATTCTTGAGACTGATAATCAAATTGCCTAACTGTATTTCAAGCTAAAAGTTACATCATTGATATGATAGCTTCTAACACCCGATAACTAAATTTCAAGACATTGACCATTAACTTTTTTTTCTATATCAGGACTCATAACAGCGTTGTAACAAGTTCGTATACTAAAACATCTTGTTACATAAAACCACTATAGTGGGGAGGGTATTATGCGTTTGTGCTGATGTTTGTAACACCCAAAAAATTTGGTCCCACCTTAAAGTATACCAATCGGCTCAGAATCACTTCCTGAGTCGATTAAGCTATGTCCGTCTGTTCGTCCGTCCGCCTGTCTGTCTGTGTGTCCATGTAAACATTGTGTGCACTCTACAGGTCGCAATCTTTGAGATCATTTGATGAACTTTGGAACGTGAGCTTCTTTTGGCCCAAGGACGAACGCTATTGAAAATGGTTGCAATCGGACCTTTATTTCACCTAGCCCCTATACAACCGGACCCCCGAATAGGGCTTTTGACCTCTTAATTATGTTAAATGATCTACTATCTGTATAAAAATTAGCAAAACTTAGTTTTATATAAATCTTAATAATTCTAGGGATTTTCGTTAAGATCAGGCATTATTTGACCCTAGCCCCCATACAAAGTCCCCTTCAGAAAATAACTTGAATGTCCACAATTCACTTATAAACACTAGTATCACAATGAAGTTTGGCAAAAATAAGTTTTATATAAACATAAATACCGACAATAAATTTTATAAGGATCGGCCCAAGTTTTGCCCTAGCCTCCAGACAACCGGACCTTCCGATTTATGCCTTTCAGCTCATAACTACGTCAAATATACTTCTATCATTCCAAAAACCGGCACAACTAAGTTTGATATAATTATAAATAATACTGTCGATTTTCATAATGATCGAGAATTATTTGACCCTAGTCCCCATACAAAGTCCCTTCAGAAAATAACTTGAATGTCCATAATTCACTTATAAACACTAGTATCACGATGAAATTTGGCAAAAATAAGTTTTATATAAACATAAATACCGACAATAAATTTTATAAGGATTGGCCCAAGTTTTGCCTTAGCCCCATTAAACCGGATCTTCCGATTTGGGCCTTTTAGTTTATAACTACGTCAAATATACTACTCTCTATCCAAAAATTGTAAATTTTTGTCATGATAGGACCTCATTTGATCCTAGCCCCCATACAAAGTCCCCTTCAAAAATTGAGTTGAATGACCAAAATATACTTATGAATACTAGTATCACGATGAAATTTGCCACAAATAAATTTTATATAAACACAAATCCCGACATAAAATTTTTGCTCTAACCCCCATACAACCGGACTTACCGATCAGTATAATTAAGTTTAAGATGATTATAAATAACACTACCGATTTCCATGATGATCGCGCCTCATTTCACACAAGCCCCTATACAAAGTCCCCTTCTAAAAATAACATGAATGGCCACATGTCCATAGTATCACAATGAAATTTGGCACAAATAAGTTTTATATAAACATAATTCCCAACAATAAATTTTATAAGGATCGGCTCAATTTCTGCCCTAGGCCCCATACAACCAGACCTTCCAATTTGGGACTTTTATCTCTTAACTATGTCTAATATACTACTAAATATCCAAAATTCGGTACAATGAGCTATGGTCGTCTTTGTAACCGAGTAAACCTGTGCACGCTACAGCTCGCAATTTTCAATATAATTTGTTGAAAGTTGTCACATACTCTTCTCTGGATCCAATGACGAAGGCTGTTGCAAATTATTGACATCTGTTTTTTATTTTTCCTAGTCATCATACAACATTCATGAACTGACATTACTTGGAACCTATGTAAGATTCAACATAAATGCTTAATTATTGAAAATGAAGCACATTTAATAATCGCAAATGGTGTAGGGTATCATATGGTCGGCCACGGCCG